AAATCGGTGCTTAATGGCGTCCACCTCACGCTTCCGGTTATACCGGAAGTTGACGTCATCTTCGTTATTTTAAATGGAACACCCTGTATATTATTGCAGTTTTGGTTTCTACGTCAAATTTTAGGTGATCTTTTATAAAGGTTTCCTATTCTTAAAGTTAACCGTTTTTGATATATTTAATTTTTAAAAAAAAGATTAAAACTAATACCTTAAGCTTCCCTGCCATAATTTCAAAATGACTTAATTTCATACAGGGTGGTAGAAATTTAATGCCGTATTTAGTCAACTTTAAACCATCTTAACTTATTTTTTTTAGTGGAACACCCTGTATATTTTTGCGCAACCTGATGAACAATTTTGTTCTTTTTCGAATGGTATAATGGTTCTCTATAACTATCTCTTCTGGTTTTTAAGATATTTACTGTTTTCCGTGCAGTCAATGGATATCGCATAATCTTTTGCGAGGATGGCTGTGAAATTTTTAGTAGAACTTCAAAACAAGCACCTAATATGTCACTAGTTTATTGACGTCAATTTAACACATACAGTGAATGTTTATTTGAGTATTATCTGTTTAAAGAATGGAAAACGTTAACATTGATTCAAATGCTTACATTCTAAATTTATTATTTATTCATGGAGAGTGTCACAAGATAATAAATACAACTTGCAGATTATCTAATGAGAGATGCACTCATTGACTACCAATCAGTAGGGATAAATTAAAAATAATTTTACTAAGATAACAGAATTAAACTACATAATACGAATAATAATTATTTACAGAAATCTAATTAATTAGCTCGAATTGACCGCCATCTAGTTATGTATCTAGTAAACAGTTATGTATCCTTCTTGTTACTCCATCTGTAACAGCTTCGGCTATTTGGGCAGCAGGTAACGTTTCAAAGGCTTTTCTTCTACAGGCAACTTTGGAAGAAACTGGCGTTGAGTACACTTTCTCTTTTATTGCACCCCAGATATAAAAATCTGGTGGTGACAGATCAGGAGATCTTGGTGGCCAATCCCAGGGTCCTAGACGATTAGTTGATCTAGGGGTAGATCTTCTAGAAATATGTTACAACGGTTCTCAAAATATAGAGGTATCTTTGTGTATTTAAATTGTACTCGTAAATGAAGTTCCTCACCTGACTGTCTTTAACTTAGCAAAATACGTTGACACTAAACTTGTGTTGAAAATTTCTTTCGCGGATGACATGGATCTTCTTGACTTCGCGTTAAAATCATTTCACAGTACATATTGGGTTCGTCTTTCAGCATCCTTGGGATGAAGTGCAGGTACAAAATTGAATTTAAATGGATGATTACCATTAGTTTTCAAAATTTTTTGGATGGACGTTTTTGAAATGCCTAAATCCTGTTCAGCAGCACGAATTTATGATTCTGGGTAAGCATGAAAATATGCCAAAACATTGACGATGTTACCTTCACCTAAAGTTATCGGCTTTGGCAAAATCCTGTGCAGAAATTAGACCATGTTCTAATTGATTTCTTAAAATTCTTCGTAAAATGTGTCTACTGATTGGTGGTAAATGAGGATATCTCTCATTAAATACCCTGCAAGTCATATTTGTTATCTTGTGACACTCTACATGAATGAACAATAAATTTAGAATGTCAGCATTTGAATAAATGTTCACGTGTGCCATTCTTTAACTATTTAAATAAACATTCACTGTATGTGTTAAATTGACAACAATAAATTGGTGACAGATTAGGTGCTAGTTTTGAAGTTCCACTAAATTAATTATGCGATATCCGTTGACTGCACGAAAAATAGTAAAAGCCTTAAAAACTAGAAGAGATAGGTATAGGGAACCAATATACCACAGACAAAATAGCTATCGCCACAGACCGCTACTGGAATAGGCCAGCAGTTTTAAATTTCCGAATTGCCGGTAGAGTACACCACGGCCCGCATACCTACGCGTATCCTAACAACATATAAACAAGACTTTGGTAATGTTGCCAGGCGTACTTACAGATTTCTTTTGTACACTTTTTTTATCAATATCTGTTTTTTGCGTTACTGTATTTACTTAAATGTATGATGTAGGAATTGATAAAAATGTTTTTAAAGAATCAACGAATATCTATGTAGTTTCATATGATATTCTGCAACGGTGTTACAATTAAGTTATTTAATCATAATTTCGTTAATTAGCTACCTACTATTTTCATTTTTTGGTATTGAAATACTGCAGAAAATATATTTCCAAATAAACAAAATTCGTATGATATTTTAAACAGCTTGTAATATCATTTTTTTAATATTTGATGATGACGATAAATTTATTTAATATACAAGGTGGGTTATCAGTACGTCGCGGAATGTAGGTACAGGTTTTTTTTTTTGTATTTTGACATCCACTTATAGGTTTAATAATTAAAGATAGAAAGAAATTTTAAATACAAATGTACGACTTTTCCTTTATTTCTTTTGACATCAAAATTTGCTGGCATAAAATATACGTTTAAAATAAAAAAAATCATCAAAAAAATTAAAATTCATCCTTAGAAAATAACAAACAACGATTTTTATAACTAACCAACAACAACAACAACATAAGGAGAATACCTAAAAATGAAATAACATTAAAATACCTACAATTTTTACAAATCAGCATGCAAGTAATTGTGGTGATACAGTTGAAAATATGTTTTAATTTACTATTAGTTGCTTCAAAAATAAATTCAAAATTATCAAACATTTCGTCCTGTATTTTTCTTTCAGTGCTTGTAAATTTTCAGGTCTTTAATAATATATTTTGTTGAAGTATCCTCAAAAAAATGTGTCTAAAGGACTGAGATCGGGGCTGTTTTCTGGCCACCTAAGGTTTCTAATAATATTTTTTAGTGTTCGTTGACGGGATTCTTCCTCCAAAATAAATTTGCCAATATTGGACTCTAAGTATCAAAAAATCTTCCATGGTTATGATTGGTGATCGAGTGAAAAACGTCAAAACCTGCATGCCAAAAAAAAAACGGGACCAACGGTGTGTGACATCATAGGATAAAAAACTGTTTATTTATAACTCGGAAACGGTGTATTGAATCGAAAAAATTATTGCAAAATCTCCCCACCCCCCCTGGTTCTGTATGTTCCTTCTGTGTTGAATGCAAAAGGTCCGAAGTCCATATGTAGAAAATAAATTTCTGAAACAAGAGGTGCGTGAGAACAGTAAAAATGGTCTTATAACTCGGAAACGGTGCGTTGAATCGAAATAATAATTAAAAAAATCTCCCCACACCCCTGGTTCTGATTGTCCGTTCTGCGTTGAATGCAAAAGGTCCGAAGTCCGTATGTCGAAAATAAATTTTGGAAACAAGAGGTGTGTGACGTGATATAGTAAAAAGGCCGTATAACTCGGAAACGGTGCGTTAAATCGAAAAAATAATTGAAAAAATCTCCCCACACCCCAAGTTCTGTATGACAGTTCTGCGTTGAATGGAAAAGGTCCGAAGTCCGTATGTGGAAAATAAATTTCGGAAAGAAGAGGTGTGTGAGGTGATACAGTAAAAAAGGTCTTATAATTCGGAAACGGTGCGTTGAATTGAAAAAATAATTAAAAAAATCTCCCCACTACTCTGGTTCTGATTGTCCGTTCTGCGTTGAATGGAAACGGTCCGAAGTCAGTATGTCGAAAAACAAAAAAGTTAGTAAAAAATTACAACAGCAGTGACGAACGCATTATCTTATCTCTGTATTGATTGATGATTTGTTGTTTTTTTTTTAAATAAATTTCGTATTCAACTACTCTTTGAGGTTCCAGCAATTTTACATTGTGTTAATTTTTTTGAACACCTTGTGTCACAAATATGAGCACTACCAATGGCATCTATGATATGCAACACTTGTGTCAATAATTATTATTTTACCTATCTAAAGAAATCAACACTAAGAGAGCAGTTCCCATCTAAGGATACACAACCTGTATAATGCATTTTTTTTTAAAAAGGCGTTAATATCGTACCATATTGGAAGTCGACGCACAAATCTAAAAACATTAATGTCAAGTTTTTGAATTTTCCCATTCCAAGGTGATATAAAATAATTAATTAGGTAAATTCATAGATTTAATTCTAACTTGATTTATTTTATTTAGCATTTAAGGCAAATGTGATTTGCAAACATCAGATAATTTCCATATCTCTTTAATTACATAATTGAAAGCATTAAATTTATTTAGCAGTTATTATTTGGCAACAAAGCCACCGCTGGAACTGCCGCCTATTACCAAGTAGAAGAGTTACCACGCTAAATTTTATAGCTGGAAGCCGGCTAAGGAGACCCTGCATCCATTTCGGGTTGCCAATTTCCAGCATTTAAGTAGCAGTCTGTGGCGATAAGCTATATTGTCTGTGATTATACCATTCGAAAGAGAACAAAATTGTTAATAAGGTTGCGTAAAAATATACAGGGTGTTCCTTTAAAAAAATAAGTTAAGATGGTTTAAAGTTTTAAAGTTTAAATTCGGCATTAAATTTCTACCACCCTGTATTAAATTAAGTCATTTTAAAATTATGGTAGGGAAATTTAGAGTTTTAGTTATGTCCCCTATAAATTTTATCGCTCTAACTTTATTATTGTAAAACACACATCTTTTTGAATTAGGCAGTGCTTTCTTAATCTTTTTTGAAAAAATTTAAATACAATATCAAAAACGGTTAACTTTAAGAATAGGAAAATAAGAAGTGGATCTTATTTGTGGAAGGGCGAAATGGGCGGTGACTATTAGACGCCTTCATTATAGCCATCTTTCTCTATCGCACGGATTTCTATGACTTTCTTTATCGCTCTCACGTAACGGCCGATGAACCATGGCGACTTTCCGACCCTGTATTAAAAAATACTGTAAATACAAATTTTGTGGCAGCTGATTGTATATTTTGAAAGTACAATTCTTATTGCTTTATTATTTTTTTCAAGTTAAATAAAATGATAATTCGATCGACTAGAAAACGAATTTTAATGAAAATTCTTTTTAATTCGAAAATTTTCAATATAAGCCATTTGACTCATTCTGATTGTGGATAAAACTTTCTATTAAAATATATCTACTATTAGTTTTTAATTTGAGTATGGATTAATTACGACCATATGTGATGTGCATAATCTATACGTATTAAAATATTTGGTGTTCCCAATTTGATATTGCTTAAAAAAAATATGTATTTTCAAAATAAAGTTTTTGATCAGCTACGTTTAGTAAGGAATCTAGTAATAAAGTAATAGCCATTTTTTGAGAAATATTCTATATCTCAGAAAAGAAACCATCTCGGAAATTGTTTAAACTATTTAATCTTCAAATTTTTGAACGAATTTATGCAATTTTCTACATTATAGTTAAATACCTGGTTCTCTGACTTACCAATTGAAGGCCTTGCAATTGCTGTACGCATTTTACCTTTGCACAAATCAGTGACGACATGTTCAGATAAAGATTTTGCAAATGAGTAGGTATTTGGTAAAGGATGAATAAAATGTGGTGACAAAATATTTAATGTATGCTGATCAACTTGCTCCGCCAGCGATATAGTAGTTTTCCAGTCGGCATGTGCTGGATATAATTTTTCCTCTACTTCGAATCTATCGCAATTACAATATGCAGTAGATATATGCACAAACGTTATTAACTTTCTTGCTTGCAATGCTATGTCTATAACTTCTTTAGTTCCCCTTGTATTCAGCAGAACGCTATCTTTCAGATGGTCATCGAATCTTATTGAAGCTGCTCCGTGGTAGATGATGTCCACGTTTTCAATAAGGGTTTGTGTGTCTTTCTCCGATAAACCTAAAAAATTGTACAATATAATAGAAAATTATTTTTTCCACGGAAGTTATATGTGTCTGAAAGCGACATTTTCTAGGCGTACGTTATATTCGTTATATTTTTATAAGGATATTAGAACTGTTATTTTAGCGTCAAGAGTCAAAACATTTAGCGAAGCAGTTCAAATAGCATTAGAAGCCGAAGTTTCTCTATCATTTAGTCCTTAAAACACTTAAAATGTTTATCATGTCCAAAGGAAACATTTTTTTAATAATCGCGCAAATCGAAATAATAATCGTCATATCGAAGTATCGAACTAAATCAGGTACTTAAACTAGAAATAAAAGCGAATAACTCCAATAATGGTTATCAAAACAACTACAACCAACAATTTAGAGGACATATAAATAGCAACAACTCATATAGAGGTACATATTTTAATCGTGGATATAGCATACCCTCTGAATAAATTATTAAAAAAAAAATGAGACATTGTACGTCAGATTGCGACGAAGCATTTAATATTTTAAAGAAAGAATTGATCGAACCACCCATATTGCAATATCCTTATTTTTCAAAACCCTTTACTTTTACTACGGACGCTTCAAATTTTACGTTGGGATGTGTTTTGTCTCAAGGTGAAATAGGAAAAGATCGCCCGATAACTTACGCAAGCAGAAATCTGACAAAACATTAAATAAATAAACCTGTAATTCTAAAAGAGTTATTAGCAATTTATTGGGGAATAACACATTTCCGTCCATATCTACAGGGTGTTAAAAAAGAGTGTAAAATATTTCAGGAGGTAATAGTATGAACCAAAATAAGCAGAAAAGTCTTAATAAACATGGGTCCGCAAAGTAACGGTTGCGGAGATATGGACCACTATTTGTTTTTCAAACATTTTATTTTATTAGGAATAAAGCGACAAAGGAAGTGTGGAAAATAAAAATGTCGTACGTGAAGAGAGCTCTTTCCCGCGAGACCGATACGTTACGGTAGAGAGTGCAGCTGCTAGCAGTAGTGATGTAGTGTGCGATTAATAATGTTATACCGTAAAGACTGTTTGAGTGTTAATCAAATGTTTTATAAATATGTCAATATGTCATAAAAACTGTTCAGTTAGTTAAACATTCTGTAAGAAATAGAATAAAGTATTTTCACAGGAAGCTTTTAATAAACAAAAAACAAAGTTACAGAAGATGTTCAAAGTGCCTTCCGTCCATTTCCAAGCAGGCACGACATCTTCGTCTCAACGATATTCGAACTCTTTCGAAAACACCCTCCTTGGTTTGGATTTCTTGACACTTTTGATTAATCCGTAGCTGCAGCTCTTCCAGGCTATTTACAGGAGTACCATACACTAATGTCTTCAAATATCCCCAAACAAAGAAATCTAGAGGGTTCAGATCAGGCGATCTTGGAGGCCATAAAACAGGTCCGGCCCTTCCTACCCATCTATGTGGAAAAGTTTGGTGTAAATGCTCTCTAACGGCCATGGAAAAATGAGCTGGAGCACCATCATGCTGGAACCACATTTGTTGCCTCTGATTCAAAGGAATGTCTTCCAAAAACTCATACAGTGTGTTCTGCAGAAAGTTGAGGTAAGCAGCGCCTGTTAATCGGTTTGGTAAAACAACAGGACCTAGAAACCTGTCACCTACAATACCCATCCAAATGTTTAATGAAAAACGTGCCTGATGTCCAGATTCTATTAGAGCATGAGGATTTTCGTCGGCCCAAATATGCGTATTGTGAAAATTAAACACTCCATTTCTTGTGAACCCGGCCTCATCAGTAAAAAGAATGTTTGCAAGAAAACGAGGGTCTTCAGCATCATGACGTAGAAACCAGCGGCAAAAAACCAAACGTGCTTGATGATCATTTATTGGATTTAAGGCCTGTACTCGTTGCACATGGTATGGATAAAGCAGTTGCTCGTGAAGGATTCTCCAAACAAGAGGACCACTAATTCCTACCTCGGCTGATATTCTCCGCACACTCGTACCTGGATTCTGCTCTACCAGTGCTAGAATTTCTTCTTCTGCTCTAGGAGTGGATACCGACCTTGGTCTTCCGGATAAATGGCACTGTTTGCTCAAGGAACCGGTATCACGCAATCTTTGGTGAATTCTTCCAAACATGCGTTGTGAAGGAATCTGGCGATTTGGATAAGCGTCAACATAAAGACGTCGCGCTTCGGTGGCGTTCCCATTAGCACGACCATACATGAAATGCATGTCTGTTAATTCTGCGTTAGAGTAACCAGCCATAGCGAAAGAAAACTTGTGCACTGAGAACAACTGTCAAATACGTACTGTTTATTTCACTAAACATCAACCAACTATTATAAGAAAATACACAACGTTTTTGCAAAATAAAAAAAGGGGCTAAAAAACATAAAACATTCCATATCTCCGCAATCGTTACTTTGCGGACCCATGTTTATTGAGACTTTTCTGCTTATTTTACACTCTTTTTTTAACACACTGTATACAATGCTAACCAAAAATTTATAGTCGTCACCGATCACAGACAGTTAGTTGGACTTTTTACTCATAAATCTCCGTCTTCAAAATTTACTAGAATGCGTTTAGACTTACTAGACTATAATTTCGAAATACAATACAAACCAGGAAAAACAAACACTAATGCAGATACCTTATCACGCATAAAGTTAGATTCAGATGTACTAAAATCAATGATTCCTACTGTATCCGTCGCTACACGATCAATGACAAAGAAATTAAATGACACCACCACAAAAAATTAACCGAACGTCTCGGACAACCAATCTGGCCAACTGGGGATTTGGGAAGTTACGTCTCTACTGAAATAAATAAAATAAAAACATTAATGTTCGAAATATGCGACACAAAAAATAAAAATTATTCAGAGCGCTCACAATCTCAAACACAATTGATAAAAAGAAAATTTATAATTAAGTGCGATAAAGTTATATAAATATAACGCACTATACAGGGTGTTTTTGAATGGAGTAGCATAAATAATACCAGTGAATCTACATTTCAAAAGAACAGGATCTGCAAAAAATCGCCTTAGTAAAATGTTCACCACTGAAGAGATATGGGCCATCAAAGTTTCCAAAAACATTATGAAAATTGGCTGTAATTTGAAAACCGAACGAGGTACAANATAAGAAAATACACAACGTTTTTGCAAAATAAAAAAGGAGCTAAAAAACATAAAACATTCCATATCTCCGCAATCGTTACTTTGCGGACCCATGTTTATTGAGACTTTTCTGCTTATTTTACACTCTTTTTTTAACACACTGTATACAATGCTAACCAAAAATTTATAGTCGTCACCGATCACAGACAGTTAGTTGGACTTTTTACTCATAAATCTCCGTCTTCAAAATTTACTAGAATGCGTTTAGACTTACTAGACTATAATTTCGAAATACAATACAAACCAGGAATAACAAACACTAATGCAGATACCTTATCACGCATAAAGTTAGATTCAGATGTACTAAAATCAATGATTCCTACTGTATCCGTCGCTACACGATCAATGACAAAGAAATTAAATGACACCACCACAAAAAATTAACCGAACGTCTCGGACAACCAATCTGGCCAACTGGGGATTTGGGAAGTTACGTCTCTACTGAAATAAATAAAATAAAAACATTAATGTTCGAAATATGCGACACAAAAAATAAAAATTATTCAGAGCGCTCACAATCTCAAACACAATTGATAAAAAGAAAATTTATAATTAAGTGCGATAAAGTTATATAAATATAACGCACTATACAGGGTGTTTTTGAATGGAGTAGCATAAATAATACCAGTGAATCTACATTTCAAAAGAACAGGATCTGCAAAAAATCGCCTTAGTAAAATGTTCACCACTGAAGAGATATGGGCCATCAAAGTTTCCAAAAAAATTATGAAAATTGGCTGTAATTTGAAAACCGAACGAGGTACAAATAACAAATTTTTTACAGGTTGTTTACTAATACAGATGCGAGTTTTCAACTATTTTTCGAAAATTTTAACCCCTCGAAAGGGGTTGAAATAACCACCCCTCAAGCCATTTTTTGCCATAACTTTTATATTTCGTAAAAACTCGATATCCAAAAATACGCATTAGATAAACTGGTTCTTTTAGAAACTTTTACCTCCATAGCAATTTTCCTTTAAAACTTTTCGTTTGTTAATAAAAAAAATAAAATGTATTACCATTCACCTCACACCGTATATGATTGCAATCAATCAAAGAAAAACTAAGTGTGCTACTGTCATGCCAGTTGTAACAATTAACTCTTCTGTAAGTTGTCACTGTTATCAGCTAAATACTTTTTGGGTGTAAATTAACAAGAATTATGCCAAATTTTACTAATGATGAATATGTGGACATGCTACAAGTGTTTTTTTCTACGATCGTGCAAAATTTACTACTTATTGCACTACCTACTGTGCCAAAAGTTTAACTTTTTTTACAGTAGTACAAAAAAAATATTGATTACAAGTTTAATCTAAGCATATCCATAAGTACCTAACGTCTGACATTGACAATTTGCGCAATTAATTTCCAGTTGTCAGTTAAAATTTTAATATTATGTAAAATACTGTTAAATAAAATTTGAAATAAAAACAATCGTAGAAAAAATGTTGCGTGCAACATGTGCAAAAAGCATATTTGTTGCACTTAACATGATTGCAGCTCTCAACTTCGTCTCGAGCTGCAAACTTCATGCATCGTACAACAAATACACACTCTTTACAGTAGTTGCACAAATAACTGTTTGAATGTCGCAGAAACTTTTATTAAATAGAAGTACAATGAAAACGAAACTAAGAAATAATTTATTATCAAAACGAGAAAAAACAAAAAACTTAGTTAAAGGACATTTCCAAAATAATTGCCATTTCTTTCTAAACACAACCTAACACGTTTACCAAAGTTGTACGGACTCGAGCAAAAATTATGGGATTGTTGCGAATCTTATCAGCCGACGCGAATATTCTTTCCTGTAGCTCTTCAAC